CCCCCTCCTCTCTCTCTCTCTCTCTCTCGATTTTGAACGGAGAGAAAAAAGAAGAGACGTAAAGATAAAATGCGAATCCCCCCTCCCCCGATGCCCGCGGAGCGTATCGTTGGCTCGGATCGAGATTCGACGGACTCCTCACGTACCCCCGAATGAACCCGCGGTTTAAACACCAGGTACACCGGGTGGTGGGCAGACGGTTATTCCGGAGCAGGTTGCAGTTCCTCGCCGTTCAGTCGAGTGCCGGCCTCTCACCGTGAAACGTTTCGTTCCTCTCTCGAGCGACGGCTCGCGCGTTCCCCTCGCCGTTCCCCTCCTGCTCTCGACCAGGTAACGAAGGTAAATTTCCGCGTCAGCCGCCGGCGAGGCATCACCGAGTCGGTTCTACGAAGCGGCCTCGCGAAGGGTAATGCGAACCTCGAGCGCGCTGCTCAAGATCACGTGGATACACGCGACGGAAACCTGCGAGGGAAACATGGACCGATAGACGACAGGACGGGGCCGCGTGACATGAGAGAACGACTGCGAAAATGTGAGTTGCGAACTTACTCGTGTCGATATTAAAGTTAATATCCAACACGCCTAGAGAAATATTAATAAAATTAAGCGTCGTGCGAAGTCGAGCGATAAAACAGTGCGGTGTACGCACGATTGAAAAATACTTTAACGATCGAAATTTGATAGATTCAAGTTTCGCTGCGATCCCCCCCCCCCCCCCGTTTATTTGTTTCTTGCAAAAAACTTATGATGATTAAATTATATATATTAAATAATATCTTTCATTCTTTAGGATAAATTTATAAAAATCCTTGCCTATTGTTTATAAGAATAGTTTAATAGCCGTGAAAGAATTTATATGTCGCTTTCACGGCCTTGACAAATGATGGTGCATAATTACGTGAGTCAGTCGCAAATGCGAATCAAAAGCCTGATTCATTCGTAGTAATTTAGATGAAATATCGTTTTAATTCCTAATATCGCGACGTTTTGCTACATTTGTCACTCGCTTTCTTAGGCACTTAACCACTCATGTCGCGTTGGAAAATACCATGCGACGCATGAGTGCGTCGCTCTTAAGACAATTCGAATTCAAACCACGTGCTCGAAATCACGACGCACGGCCAATCGCGGCGTTTTAAACAATACTACGATTCATTTACCGACAGCGACGCTCGGAAAATTAATCTTCTCTTTCTCGTCGTGAAATATTTATCCTTCCTTTCTAAATAAAAATTTGACCGAATATTGCTTGACCAATTAGCAATCGAAGAAAATTGCTTTATTTTGATAATAAAAAAATAAAGAGCTCAATTTCCAAATGTAAGTTAAATCCTTTTATAGGATCTTTGAAGAATGAGCCAAAGTCAAAAAACAATAAAATTCAATTTGAGAAGCACTTCCATCGTTCGATTCGCGAGCGATCGCGTCGCGTTCAATTCCCCGGCGAGCTTCGAGGAGATTTCGGAAACGCGTGCGCGCACGGCGAGGGAAAGAAAGGGAACGGCCGTATACAGATAGAGTTATAGGCGAGTAACACGGACTTTCTCCGAGAGACAAGCCCACGTCTACGTAGGCGGGCCTTCTACCGCTGATCTTACCGAACCGATCTAGCCGAGTCGCGGAGTAAGTCGTCGGTGTAAGTCGGCTGTCAGTCGATCGCTCTCGTCGATCGCTTACGCGATTCCTACAAGGAACTTCGAGGTCGTACGGAAATCCCGATCGTCGAATCTGCGCACGCTATCGATTAGCCCCTCGACACTCGAGAGTGCCTCTAATCATATAGCGAGAAAACGTACCGTGTTTATCACTTCCACTTTCATTCCGTCCTTTCCCTTTCCCTTTCCTCGCCGCTTGAGTCGTGGATCCGCGGGAAATAATTGCAACCTGCGCGGAACGATTAGCCGTCGTTAAACGTCGTTAAAAAACGTCTGTCGTGTCAATTTGCGGGGGATCCGATCGCGATCGGGCCCCCGCCCTTTCTTGGTGCGGCGAGATGAAAGTTTCGGAGAGTCTAAAAATCTTTACAACGTGAAACACGTCCGTCAAGGCCCGAGTAAGCGTCGAGACGCGGAACAAGAAAAATAAACGGTCACGATTGACGTTTCAACTTGTCTGAAGATTTGATCTTTGATGACCCTACGGATCCGCGCGTAACTTGATCACGACACATACGCGTCTTTTGTCGGGAAAAATGAGAGCATAAGCGTACGTAGGATTTTTTTTCAAAGGATTTTTATCAATTTTGTTGACATAGATAGCAATTTTGTGCGTTAATAAATTGTTTTTTTTTCATATCTTAGAGCTTAGAATATCTCCTCGTTTCTGATGATTTTGAATGAGAAAAATATTAGGTTTTGTAAACCATAACTTTAACTTTTTTTTAATTTTAGGGGAGGTTTGAACTCTCCCCTAGATACGCCATGAATGAGAGATTTTTTAGAATTATTATATTATGAATGCAACAGCATAAAAAAAGGAAGAAGGAAGAAAACGCAGAATACCACTGCGTGGTGCAACGCTTCGGTGCAACTCGCAAGCAGACGTGCCAGCCTCCAATCATTTAGCTACATTATTCTCGCATTATCTGAGAAAACGATCGCGATCTCTCTCTCTCTCTCTCCGCGAACATCCGCTTCTTTAGACAGAAACGTTTCATTAGAACCGACGCACAATTTTGCTATTTCGTCGCGAAATAATCAGAGTTTCGCCCGAAACGAATTATCTCCAACTGTTTCGCTATTAATTATGAAACTCAAGCGGATAATCTTACCGTGTCATGCAAAATGCGAAATCGAGAGACATAAATTCTAAATATTTTCGTCCCCCCCCATCGCGACTTTCCAGTCTAAGGATTTGCTGAGCCTCGCATCTCGAGTGTGAAATGAACGCGATGTATTTTAAAACCACTTTACATTCTTAATTTCGTATCGCATAATATCTCTAAATTCGAAGTACTTTTTTTTAAATAAAAAAAAAAAAAAAAAACAAATATAAATTCCAAATACCTTCGTTCTCATCGCGACTTTCCCGTTTAAAGATTCGCCGAAGACTCGCATCAGGAAGGCGAAGCGGCCGCGAAGAATTGCAAAACCCACGTTAGCCGCGGGAGATTTTTGAGAGAATGTCGCGAGAAATCGCCGCGAGCAGAAGGATCAATGCACCAAGTGCCGCGTTGCATAACGTGACACGATCGCGAGTGTCGCAAGCGTGTCGATCTTTCGCCGGTCTTCCCTCGCCGATCCTTATCTGTCGTCGCGTCGCAAAGGGCATCCGCGAAGTGTCGTTTACGTAACGACGCCCGACGACAAATAGGAAAAATGTTGCATGCACGAGTATTGTGTATACACACACGGGCAGCCTTTCCGCAGGCCACCCGGCGTACTTCCGCAAGAAAACGCCGTTTCCCTCTTAATCGCGCAAAAGCGCAGCCTGCGTGTCGGCCACGCGACACGAATGGTTGCGCGAAAACCGTGAAAACGGCTTACGGCGTAGTCTCGGCGTAGTCCGCGGAAATGCGGAATCTTGTTATAAATTATCACCTGCGTGCGTGCGTGCGTGCACCGGACCTGATAGAAAATTACAGTCGGAAAAGGAGCTGGCGCGCGGATTAACGCTAAAAGTACTCGCGTGGTTATTTCCAATCATTTTCTAAGTCAATATCTTTTTTTCGCTTGTATTAAAGGATACAATTTTTTAATTTCCTATTTTTTTCCGATTATTCTTTTCATTTTGATGGAATATTAAAATAAAAAAATTTTTGACCCTCATTTTGAGCAGAAAGAAATATTTAAAAAAATAGAAGCGGTCAAGAATGATTGCTCAATATTTTTCTCTGGGAAAAACCTTACATTTCTCATTACTAAAGTAACTTTACGTTTTAAATCGCGTACACGTAGAAATCTCAATGCCCTGAAGACAGGATGAGTTTCCATCTTCCTCTCCGTACCGACCTCGTCTAACACGCCTCCTTCCTCATCCTGTCGTCACATCGATCCCTCGCCTAATTGTGACGTCTCAACAACCGGTTATTTACTTCTCGCCGAGAGGCCGATCGACGCGGCATCTCTTCCCGGCATTATTTCGCGAATCTCTCTTCCTATGGCGCGCGCCGATCTCGTTGCTATTGATAAACAGAGAGGAAAAGCGGAACATCGGTACCCCGCGACATTGAAGCGCTAAATCGTGATCGCCGCGGCTGCGCCGCGCGCGATCGTCGGCGCGTGAGGCGGAGAAATGTTGAGTGAAAAAAAAAAATCGCGACGCGCACGCGAGCGCGGGCACATGGCGCGAGTCATTACGTATAGAAACTCGGCGGGCCGGCAGTGCAACTTTCGCGATCATCGTCGTCGTCGTCGTCGTCTACATCGGGAAGGTACATCTGCATTCCTGGTGCCAGGTGCACCTCTCGCGAGCGCACGCGTTTTCGCCGCTTCCGCGTCTGCCACGGCGGAATAGCGCACACCGGCGCGAAGATTACAGGTGAGGATCAATCGCCGATCGCGAAACGAACGACACCATCATTTCGATTAGATAATCCCGACTGCTAATCATAAATTAATTGTACGATAGCGCAAAAAATAATTTCGAGCGCAAAAAAATTAGTCTTAAATCAAGACTATTCTCAAGCAAGAATATATAAGCAAGGATATTATAATCTTCTTATGGAAAATTTCTTTTATCTTGAATTTACTTAAAGATAATACTAAAGGAAACTTTTCAGAAAATTATAATATTCTTGCCTATAAACGAGAGTCAATTTATCCTGATTGAGGCTAATTTTTTATCTGTGAACCAAACAAGATGTTTCTTAGATTTTTAGATGTTGAAAACAACGCGAGTCAAATTTTTCCGGCATATCAGATTTCCAAATTGAAGTTTAATAAAAAAACAATTTTTCCGCGATATTTAAAGATTTTTTTATAAAGAAGAAGTTAACGATATTGTGAAATTCTAATCAGAAGCCATTTAATATATTTTTCATCCTCTATAAAATGCATTTTTTTTTTATTTTGATATTTTTCTTTTTGGCCATGTTATGAAAAATTTTAATACAAAGTTTTGCCAAGTTAGCAAAAGTCTGTTGTCAGTATCCAAATATCTGTAAAGAGCACCTTGTTCAAAAGAATAAAAAAAAATTTTTTGTAACTAGTGTAATCTGTCGCTTTCGACAAGCAAGTTAACGCGCCTTAAGTTTTCGCACGGTAATCGATAAGGCTGCAGCTTTGTCACGTCTCATCTCGCTAATAACCAGCGATAATTAGATGGATTCGTTGGATTTAACGGTATATCGCAGAAACCGCACGCTTCCGCTTCAAACCGCGAATTAAAACGTACACTGGAAAATGAGGCTCGATTCCGAAACATGCATCATTCGTGCGCTGTGCGCAAATGTCACGACATTGAACTTCCGCTGTGTGTGTACTACGGCAGGTCGCGAGTGAAACTAACGGCGCATTTTGCAAGTGCGTTGATTTATCGAAGAAATTGAAAGACGACGGCAGAGAGGAAGTCGTGGCGTTCGATAGATCCTCG